GCATCAAATGCCTCATCGCCGTCCTGCGGGAACTCCTCCAGCATTTATTCTTCGCGTTCAACCTCACCTCGCAAAAATCGCCCCAATTTTGATAGGAGGTGCACCTCGTTTGAGCGACATATAAAGAGATACCCATTTAGACAATTATTTTGATTTCATCAATCATGAGAATTCATAAAAATTGGCCATGAAACGCAAATATAAAACTGTTGCATGGAAGCGATGGCGCGAACCGCCACGTTTGACCTAACGGAAAAAAAATAAATACAGAAAATATACATAAGCAAAGGATGTATCCAAATGAAGAACTTGCAGTCGATCAGTGAAAATGTGAAACGTGTTCAGGTCGTAGCATCCTTTGCTTGGCACAGGTAAGCATTAAGCCTATGCCTCAGACTGATATAGCCCCATGGACCTGGCGCTTTGAGCGGTGGATGGTCTAGCCGATGGCCAAGGATGGTATAGCCTAATGGACGTGGCGCTTTGAGTGGTGGACGACATAGACTATGGCCTTCATTTTTATGATCTGATCTCGTAGGCCTCGCGCGTTGCGGTGACAGCCACCACCACAACTTCTTCCCAGCACATTCAATACTCTTAGCATCACCGATTAGCTCATGGGTTATTAGCATTAGCTCATGGTACAGGTACCATTGATTCTGAAACAGTACGGGTCATTTCCATGAACTTGTTCGGGTTTAGCACAAAGGGAATTTAGCGCATGTGCAGCAGAATACTAACGAATAATTGCTGAAAATGCCTCGCCTCAACGTTCACACTGTTGTTCACTGGTGCTAATGTGAAGTGTGAGTTGCAGCAGATGCACTTTTCCGTTGTGGCACCAATGTGAAACAAATGTCCCCTCCGTACAGCAAAATGTACAGCCTGACAGTGTTCGCTGCGCAAACGACTGTAGTGATTTGAGATGACATGGAGAGGCCTGACAAAATGTCCCGAATTCCGTGGTTTAAGGCTAGCACAATTGACCGGCAAGCAAGAGGTCCGTGTTTAATTCCCGGGCGCCTCAAGGCTTTCGACACCTGAGTGTTGCGTTCCTTGCATCAAATTGCCCGGCAGGCTGCAAGGCTCTCCTATTCCTGAGATCAGCATTCGCCGCTTCTTGCTGTTCAGCTTTACGCTCCCAACGTGTAACTGGGTACTGTTCATCAGTCATTCTAGCCATTATGGCTAGCACCTCCTAAAGAAACGATTTAGGCCCTTCGCACCGCAACTACAGTGGCAAACTTTGTTTTCGCGCCAGCACCATTCTTTTATTATCTGCAGCGACTGCCTCATCGCCGTCCTGTGGGACATCTTTCAATATATTTTTTTCACGTTCAACCTCACCTCGTAAAAATCGCCACAATTTTGATGGGAGAAGCAGCCCGTTTGCGCGACGTATGAAATAAAGAACTTATGTTATTTTGATTTCATCAATCATGAGAACTCAAATAAATCGGCCATGACATGAAACGCAAACAGAAAACTATTGGATTGAAGTGATGTCCCGAACAGCCATGCCTGATCTAACGGTAAAAGTAAATAAATAAATAAAACTTTGACACAGCTACGTACGGAGCCTACGGCACAGACTGATATAGCTCAATGAACCTGGGTATAAAAGCGTTGGATGGCCAGGCCTATGGCCTAGTATCACATAGCTCCATGGACTTGGCGCTTTGAGCGATTGATGTTCCAGCCCATGGCCAAAGATGGCATAGCCTAATGGACCTGGCGCTTTGAGTGGTGGATGACCTAGCGTATGGCCTAAAATGATCTAGCCTCGTGGGCCGGGCTGATAACCCACCACAACTCTCGGGCTATTCGAATTTAAGTATACTAGCGTCCTGCGGTCGCTACGCTGGCCATCTAATAGGTGGAAATTTGAACCGTCTATTATGAGCATACACAGGAAAGTAGAAACGTACGAGGAGAGGTACAAATGTGAGAGGTACATATTTTGTCGGTCTGGTCGTCTGTTGTACCTCCGTCTGTACCTTAGTCTGTCTTTACTTCAACCCTTATTTACTGACACTATTCTAGATCGCAATATTCCCCCTCCCAAATCAAAAAAAATAGTGCCGGAGGCACGAGTTCAGCTTATAAGCCAATGGGGTGGCTTTCGTCTATATATATCATGTCTTGGAGATTGGGGATATTGTTAGATCCTTTGTGCATGGATTTTGCTGACTCTTTTCGTTTCTGCTCGCTTTTATAACAGTGTGACCTAAACAATTTTTGGCCTGTTCCGATTGAAGCACGCCATTTCTCATTCACGTGGTGTTCCTTCCCTATTGCTGCCAAAGGTGAGTGTACATTCTGTGCAGTTCCAATTGCTCTTTGTAAATATATTGTCCAGTAGGCTAAGTCGATATACCTGTGCACAGAAACGAATTCTGTCAAACCACGATGTACAGGGTCCCAAATTACTTGTATCACCTATACTTCTGACAAGGAAGGCAGAGCATGAGTATGGTACCTTGCGTATATTGATGCTGTCATTAGCCCCGTTTGGGAAGGGATGCCGGGGGGGGGGGGGAAGGACATGCACCAGGGCATTCTATACAAAATGCCTGCTAGTGTACTGTACTGTACGCCATTTCCTGGGTTAGTCACGTTGAAGCCTGTCGCCTGCGCGTGCGAGAACTTTGGTTTCTCATTAATCCTGATCCAAACATTTCTCTCTCCTTTTCCTCCTCCAGATTTTCTTCGTGGAATGAATCCAGAGATCTTTCGTTATTACCATGGATGTGAAGGACTTTACATTAACTCTTATTGAAGTGCAAGAGCCATTCTTTTTACCCCACTTCCGAAAGGAGAAATTCCATCTCGGCTCTGACCCTGTCCTTCCCCCATGATGGAGAAACCTGTTTTCGCATCTTCTACAAATTTGCTTATTTTACTCTTATAAACTGTCGTGAGACCATAATCTAAATTGTTCGCATAAAATACAAATAGGTTTCCGAGAACCAAGCTACTACTGACGCCTAATTCCGCTGACCCTTCTTTTGCTATTTCTTTATGCTCTCTACAGAAAGATTCATTCTATTTTTTTCCTCTTCAAGGTGCCCATTGGCCAAGTTCATATTTTTCCCTTGTCGCCCAAAAGGAGGCGTTCTCGCATACGTATTCAAGGTACATACTTCATTTGTTTTCCATTTTCGCCAAAGATACACATTTCCTAGCTCCCAAGAAAATGTTTTGGATTTGCAAGATCTGTGATTATCTCCCAAGTTCATTGAATGATTATGGCAGCCACCTTTTCTTATTTCATGAGGGCAAGAACGGCTCCACATTTAAGTGCAAAGTAGTCTTTCAAACCATTGCTGAAGAACATTCTTGTCCATACGAAACTAAGATAGTACATCTCATGCGCCATTACTACCGATGTGCATTCACACGAGACCATAGGTTTGCTCCCTGCGAAGCAAGTGATGGCACACTGAATACAAATAAGGAGTACTGTGAACCCAAGAACCATACTTTCAGAGACAATTCAGAGAATACTCCTCGAAAGAGAGACCTTCCAACAGCAAGTCAGAAATTTCGATGGGTTTTTCGTGAAGGTGTCGCGAATACGTCACTGCATTGGCGATCATGCATACCTTCAAGAGATGTATTTTTAGAATAACCAGCGCAGAACATGTTTGAGGTGAGGGTACGAGTAGCGGTGATGTCCCCTGTGAAGTATGCGGTGTCCCGACGACACAAGCTATTGGAAATCACCGGGAGCTGAACATCTGTCAGGACAGCCGTAGGGAGAACAGAACCGTCAACCCCCCAACCGGCAACCTGGAACAATGAGCAATAAAAAAAAGGATCCATTGAACGACGTCCCTCCAGAAGACTTTGTATTTTAGGGAGAAGAGACAATTCACACTTTACCCATCCTTGCATTCCATCCTGGAGATTTTCGTCAGAAACATCAAATTTGGTCGGGAGACATATCAACTGCACTCGCTCAGTCAGCACGGAAGGCTTTGTTAATTTCAGTAGAGCAATATCTGAGTCATGGTTTTGTATGCTGTAATCCTTATGGTGAAATATGTGAGACACCTATTTAAAAAATTGCGGCTATTCCATCATCCGGAAATGAATGAATGAAATTATAATATGTTGTTGTTCATCAAACCTGTCTGATCTGCACGTATTCATCGTCTTCAACATTAGCTCGATGTTGTTTCCCAAGGTAAACCAAAATATCTTTCTTGGTCCGAGGTCTATCGGTACCCTGAATCGAGACACAATGGGCCGCTGTGAGTACCCATTGCTCTTGAATGAGTGCTCCTCCACAAACAATATCTTGTTCTTGAACGTCATAAATGGCTGCCTGCCAGGGCCATTGTCCTATCTGTGATGGCTTTCCTCCTTTGGACAATGTCACTTGGTAATTCTTTCTCCCGCACACTAGGAATACGTACAGAAATACACTTTCGAAAATTAGATATATGTATCAGGCAAACAGTGAAAATAATTGGATTTGAACAACCGACCAGGCTCACAAAACGGTGAGTTTCCTGTCCATTCTCCATCCTGCGTGCATCTGCGAATCTTGGGTCCCCTTAGAATGTAGTATTTATTGCACGAGTATCTAACAACACTCTTGAATTTATATTTCCCATCTTGAATGCATTTTGTCTCCCTTCTGTCACTAATAATTTCTGAAGTAGTCGAACAAGATTCTATTTCAATAGATCCATGCGTCGATGTACTTAGATTTGCGCATCCAATTACACTACCTGTTGGAGGATAAAATAACCAGAACTGCGATCATGACAATAACCACAAAGGCGGAATGTGCAGAAAACAATTTGGATAACGGTAGAACGTCTGCTAGCTGTTATCTGAATATGTTATTTCATTGGATTATGTTGGTTTTCCGTTATGCACGTCTTTTTTATTCCCGGATTCAATTATGAACGAAAGTATAGGGTGTCTGAAAAAATGTATACACACTTGAATAAAGAGTATATTTTAAATAGTTCAAAGAGGGTCGATGTTTAATGTGACGTGTACCTTACCTTACAGATGACAATGTGTAATGGAATGATCGCTTGTCATCAGTCAATTTTTTCCCACGAGACTGCGTGTCACGCAAGACGACACAAGCTCACTTGACCTTAGAGCAGTGTAAGGTGACTGAAGTAATTCTGGAAGTCTGAGAACACATGTGAAGTGCAAACTAGATGGAGAAATGAACTTGCAAATTTGTCACCACGATATACTAGAACTTTCAAGGATTCATGATAAGTTTGATGCTGATGGTACAGTGAGTATATGGTCCTCAGAACATTGCTAGTACGGTAATGCGCAAACAATGTTCTTATAGACATCACCAAAAGTCAACAGTGCCTGGATGCTAACTGTGAACAATTTGAACATTTGCGGTGGTGAACCACGCAATTCAAACCTTTGCCTCTCCACACACCGAACATAGTACCTCTCTGAATTGCTGAACATTTAATTTCATGTGTGTATACATTTTTGAGACACCATGTAGTATTACACATTTGATCAGTTCTCTATTTTTGTTTGGAAGATTTGGCCCACTTTCTATATTACATACCAGAGAGGATATCTGGTAGTGATGAAGATGTCGTTGTGGTTTTTTCCCGCATGTTTAGCTGGCAGCACAGTTCTCCAGATCGACAGTTGTCCACATGAGAAAGAGTCACCGTCCCCGGCGTACAGAGAGATATCCATAAATTGTTGATGCACTGGTAGGGGCATTCACGAGGACAGGCATTTAACGAACTAGAATTGAAGTCCTTCAATTCCGTTCCATTGTTACATTTCCCAGATAAGTTTCTTAGATATTTCCTACCGAGCATTAACCATGATATTTCACAATCGCACTGGATGAGATTGTCTGCAATAAAAGAAAAAGAGAAAAACATGCTGACGAAGGAATCATGTAAGATATTTCACAGGTTGTGCAAGAATGAGAAACGGTAAAACTCACCGCTCAGATCAAGGACACCATCTCCCATAGAGAGGATGTCCAACATCGGGCGGAAGCTCTCTTCAGACAATGCAGTGATTTTGTTTTCGTTGAGGTAAATGGTCGTATCAGGTCTGAAACCTGGAATTCAAATTAATTGTTCAATGCGAAGAAGTAGCTTCTTGAGTTAGAGTAGTAAAATTCCCAGGGAAGAAGTAGACATTACTTTTTGGTAATTTACAAGTAATTTACTGGTAACTATTGGTATTTTACTTGAGTATCACCACTAGGTTTCCGATGCTCCAAGATTGCCATTTTCAGCAAAATATTTTATTTTCAAGTCTCGAAATCCTCTCATGGAACCAAATGCATTCAAAACAAAATCCTATTTGATTAGTCCTACGAGAGAGACGAGCTATAGCAGAAAACTCTAGTGATTTCGATAAAGATAGTGCTGCTAAATATTTCATATTTCAGCATATTAAGCCAAAAAATACAAAATCCGGAAATTGCGGAAAAGAGTATAATAGTAATATTTCGAATTTACAAATTAAGTGGTCTTGCTATATGAAAATCTGACTCTTCTCAGTTTCAAAATGTTAAAAAAAGGCTTACTTGGTGTGCCTCTTTGGCTGAAATAATTCCTATTAGAACTTTGATGTAGAAGCAATACAAAGATGGTAGGTGAACTTGGATTACCTTCCATCGTTTTCATCATAACCTTGAAAATAGTCAAGGATCTTTCCATCTCACATCAGCTGTAGGCCAGCCGGTGACCACTTTAACATTGACGAAATTTCTCGCGTGGCAACTCTCTCGTCCCATAAGTTAGTGTGCACAATTTTGCCTTCGGGTTTGCAACCTTTTTATGCATAATTTAAAAAAGTGACATCTGTTCTTGCTCCAAAGCAGCATTTTAATCATATGCATGATATTCATCCATTGTCCACTATGTCCTTTTTCTGTCACTCCGACGAAATTGATGTAGTATATACGTAAACCTAACGTCACTAGAATGAACGTCACCTTAATTTATATTCGGTGATGTAACATTAATGTGTCGTATCGGGAAATTCAAATGAGTGACGTTGTTTTTACATAATTTTGGGACCTTATTCTGCCTACCGTCATAACGATATCATAATTCATTCCGCATTCGCTCGGGTGCTTTTCATTGGATTGCAAGTGAACGTCACCCTATTATTTACTTGCAGAGATGTATATAGCTTCTAATTACTCATACTTTCACATTTTTTATTTCATACTCAATTACAAGACACAAATTAACAAGAAATGCTATCCTCAGAAGGGGTCGCTGGCTCGGAATAATATGCATTTCAAATGAGAAAGGAAATGTCCTCGGCGATGAGAAAAGTACAATTAATTCTTGCCAGTACTGTGCCAACTTTTTTCTCCACAGCATCTAGAATGAAAGGTATGAAGTCCTTCAAAAAAAATTCCAGGAAACAAGGTTTGAGGATTCATCACTGGCTACTTCATTGCCAGTATATGTGAATGGTAACTAATGAAATTAAGCTTCTGTCATAATATTATCATTTTCCTTAAACAAGTGACATTTTCCATATGACGTTGTGACAGTGACATTTTCAACCCTAAATGCTGATGTCTGTGATTTCAACTGAATATCACATAGCCATGAAATTAACGTCCATTTGATATTAAATGCACTCATTTTTGCTACTTGGGCTTATGTAGGACATAATTATATTGACCAAAAGGAATGCAACAAACGTCACTGTTCTGAAGGTGGTTAGAATTTCGAAGCTATTTCATGTTTTTCTTTTCCTTTTCCTTGAGACGGTAATGCATACTTGAATGAAGTTATTTCCAAATTTTTTACATATTCAATTTTTTTAGAACCTCTACATATTCATGAAACATGAATCACGCATGCTTTTTAAATCAGCTGGAGAAGACCTAGTGATGTGTGTGTGTTCTTGAATCAATAACTTCCACTTGAAGAGCTGTGATGGTTAAAAATGTGCAGAAGACCCCACAAATTTCACAAAAGCACGGATTTCAATTGTGCGGTGCTATTTTCTATGCAGCTCAACAAACTTGAAAAACTTTCAGATCTGATATTTCCTTAAAAAAAAAAGAAACAATTTCAAAGCACATCTATTTCTTAAAATGCTTTACTACAAATGTACAGTATATTCGGCCCGCATCTCGCAATTTCTGTCTTTATCAAGGCCCAAAAAACACAGTTTTCATCATCCGCTCTTCAATTTCATTATTGATAGCAGCAATCAAAGAGAAATTCACTGCATTCTAATGGTTTGGGGTTCATGGACATCATTGCTCATTAAAAAATTGACAGTGTTCACAATTTTTGGGCTGTTTTCCCCAATTGGATGTGATTAATTTTTCTGGCATGATAAAGAGAAATTCACTGCATTCTAATGGTTTGGGGTTCATGGACATCATTGCTCATTAAAAAATTGACAGTGTTCACAATTTTTGGGCTGTTTTCCCCAATTGGATGTGATTAATTTTTCTGGCATGAAGTGTTGGAATGCCGATTTCCAATTTCTGCTTAAAACACGGCTCTGGATGGTGCCTGAAAGGAAGTGTGAGAGTTTGTGAGCAGTAATTACTGGATGAATCCAATAATGGAGTGTAGAATGCTGGCAGCACACGAGGGATGAATATGATATAGATAAATTGAATGCTGAATCACAGCATTCTGTGAAACATTATGCTGTGCATTATATGCTGTACTCTAGTATTTGCGGGGTTCTATAACATAATGTCGAAAAGCACAACGTCGTCGGATTTTATGTCGTCTAACGAAAGCGTCGAATGCCACATAATGTTGAATGGACAATGGTCGAATGGGCATAATGTTGATTGTTACAATACCGAAGGCGTCAAAACGTGGAAAAACGTCGAATCTTCAAGATGTCGAAATCATGTCATTCCTTTCTGTTCCTTGAGTCCTGGTTCGTATAATCAAGAAAAGGAGATTTCTTATTTTTTCTTTGCTCCCTTGAGGCAGCAAAGACTGCCTTGTCGGTTCCATGTTACTTCTTCGAAAGACACTCCTCTGCCACTCCGACTGGACGCTCCTTTGAAAGGCTTTCTTCAAAATGTTCAGTCGAAGAAGTGGCGGGGGAGGTGTCCGTCCAAGAAGTGTCTCTCGAAGAAGTGATATCGAAACGCCTTTTCAACCTATCATCTGTCTGCATCTGTCAGCGTTGGTGGAGATGATAACATCAGTAAGAAGCGCACATTCCCGCCAATGTGTCAGTCGAATTGGGGCCGTAACCAAGACCACCATGAGATAGTGCATTCCCAGAAAAGTAGCAGATAGTTAGTTGTTCATGGGTACTTACACGTGAAAATTGAGGAGGTGGAGCTTTGAATGCCGGTTAACGGTTATCACGTTTATAACCACCAAATATTTTGCCTTTTTTTCTGGACCCTGGACCTAGTGCAATTTTCCCGTGTTCGGTATGACGTGACTTCATTGATGGAATAAATAAAAGTACTTGCGGCCTGCGGCCGCTACGCTGGCCGTCTAAGAGGTGGAAATTTGAATCGTCTATTGTGAGCATAACGTCTCCTTAACAATCCTCTGTTCATCGCATTACCCATTCGGAACTGAACCGCTTCATTTCATTTTCTAGGAGATTCTGTTCTTAAACACCATCATCATGATATTCCAGGTGATTGCTTGCCAGAATCGTTCATTGTGAACAGTTTAGCAAGTTTTCATGAGACTCAAGACGACTTTGCTGATTTCGTCTTCCTAGCACATTCAATACTCTTGCATCATCGATTAGCTCATGGGTTATTAGCATTAGCTTATGGTACAGGTACCTCTGCTTCTGAAACAGTACGGGCCATTTCAAAGAACTTGTTCGACTTCAGCACAAAGAGAATTTAGCGCATGTGCAACAGAATACTAACGAATAATTTCTGAAAATGCCTCGCCTCCACATTAGCACCAGTGAACAACAGTGTGAGCGTTAAGTGTGAGTTGCAGCAGACGCACTTTTCCGTTGTGGCAGCATTGTTAAACAAATGTCCCCTCCCTACAGCAAAATGTAAAGCCTGACATCCTCCACATTACCACCAGTGAACAACAGTGTGAGCGTTAAGTGTGAGTTGCAGCAGACGCACTTTTCCGTTGTGGCAGCATTGTTAAACAAATGTCCCCTCCCTACAGCAAAATGTAAAGCCTGACACAGCTTGCTGCGCAAACGACTGTAGTGATTTGAGATGACATGGAGAGGCCTGACAAAATGTCCCGAGTTCCGTGGTGTAATGTTAGCACACCTGACTGGCAAGCAAGGGGTCCTGGTTCAATTCCCGGCCGCCCCCCCCGCTTTCGACACCTGAGTGTTGCGTTCCTTGCATCAAGTTGTCCAGCAGGCTGATGGCTCTCCTATTTCTGAGCTGTTCAGCATTCGCTGCCTCTTGCTGTTCAGCCTTACGCTCCCTACGTGCAACAGGGTACTGTTCATCAATCATTCTAGCCATTATGGCTAGCACCTCCTAAAGCATCGATTTAGGCACTTCGCACCGCAACTGCAGTGGCAAGCTTGACAGCACCAATCGTTTATTATCTGCAGCGACTGCCTCATCGCCGTCCTATGGGATCTCCTTTAACATTTTTTCTTCGCCTTCAACCTCACCTCGCAAATATTGTAACCAAATTTTGATGGGAGGAGCGACCCGTTTGAGCGAAGTATGAAACAAATAACTTACTTTATTTTGATTTCATGAATCATGTGAACTCAAATTGGTCATGACATGAAACGCAAACAGGAAACTATTGCATAGAAGTGATGTCCCGAACCGCCACGCCTGACCTAACGGAAAAAATAAATACAGGAAAAAAAAAACACTACTGGAAAAAAAAAAAAACAATTCAGCAAACAATGCATTCAAATTGAGAACTTGCAGTCGATTAATGAAAACGTGACACGCATTCAGTTATTACCACCCTTTGATAGACACGGCTAAGTGTGAAGCCTATGGCTCAGACTGATATAGCTCGATGAACCTGGCGCTAAAAGCGTTGGATGGCCAAGCCTATGGCATAGAATAGCATAGCCTCATGGACCTGGCGCTTTGAGGGGTGGATGGCCAAGCCTATGACCTGAAGTGACAAT